GGGTGGTGACTGTGGCTGTTTGTGAGGGGACCCGTGAGACAGGAGGGGACCAAACTAGTGGTCCGGTGCTAGCACAAAATTAGTCGGAAGGAAGGGGACTTCGAAATCGGTAAGGGGTTTTCTTCGCCAGGATGGTTTCAATGTCCTCCACGGCTTCCATCATATGTTGTGGGCAGCATCCAATTCAGAAAACAATTTGGCTGGGTCCTGCCATAGTTGATGGTAGGATTCCCGGATGGCTTATTTGGCTTCGGGTTCCTTTTCCTCCCGATAATCCCTGATAAAGACTTTCCAGGCCTCGTGGGTTCTCGTTCTGATCTCGTCCTCTATGGCTTGTTGTGCTTGCTGCAACCCAAATTGGTGGCTTTTCCTTTGAAAGGAACATCTGGCTCTCCGAGCCAGCATGCGTACCTGCAGTCTCATATAAGAGATGAGATTGGTGGCGAAGGGAGGCCATTGCACCATCAGATGTTGGTTCTTGTCAAGCAACAGGAGGCCAATGTCCCATGGGATGTGGTAGCCTGTAAGGAAAAGAATGCTGCATTCCACCACCTGCACAATTGGGTGACCATTGGGCCTTGCCACAGTCGTCTGAATGTCAAAATCTCTTGTGGTCTCTGCATGCACTCCGCAGGCGTTATCGTCAATGGTCTCGAACCTTGCACAACCCTAAACCTAAACACCCATCTCATAGGTTCACGTACACCAACCAGGAGCGGGACGTGTTTTTATTTTATTTTTCAAATGGAGATAGAAACAGTAAAAAAACTACACTTACTCTATATTTGAACAAAGGGTTCCGTTCTACTGGTGGGGAGCAGCACCTGCTGGAAACCAGGTCCAGCGTCCCACCCTACTTATATTAAAAAAAAAAACTGTGCCACCAAGGCCTTACAAAACCACACAATTTTCTAAAATAAAGCACGGAACCGAACTACCACCCTACTCTAAAAATAAAGGGTAACAAAATCACAAGAAGACAAAGTAAATGGGTAGAGTACACCCTACTTCCAGAAATAATGCCACCAAGGCCGCAACCCACACAATAAAGGAACAAACATTTTTGCCAAACTGATGGGCTCAGGTGTTTCAGAATTATATTTTATGTGGGGAATAGTGGTAGGTAGGTATGGTACTAGGTAGTGTGAGGTGTAATTGAGAGAAGAATGTAGCTTACTTAAAAAAAAAAAAACCATGCATCTAGTTCCATCTCGATTCGAACTCAGGTCTACTTTTCAATACTGCATGCTTTCTTTGCCCTCCGCCTCTGATGACATTTACCTACCCGACAACATTCTATCCGCGTCAGCCAAGACGCAATGAATGCAGTGCATCAAGGCATCGGGGTGGGGCGCATTTGACAAGGCGCTCAAGCGCCACTGGGGAGGTCATGGGCCCCACCTTTCGTTTTTTCCCCCGCCCATTTGTGCCTGTTGCATGCTTGGCGTCTTACCCTTAAACCACCACTACCCTTCTCATATGTGGGGCCGCGGGCCTCAAATTCAAACTCGGCCGCGATGTGCTGTCGATGAAAAAGATCAACGGCGGCACAGCGGCTATTTTTCAGGAGTAGTCTACTAGATGCCCCCGGCCGACGTATGGGAAAGGTAGTGGTGGTTTAAGACCACCAGTTGGTAAGCAAGTACGTGGTAGCTCAGTGGTTAGAGGCTCTGGAGTAGCATGGGGGAGAGGTTGCGTTGGACTCCAGTTGACCCCCATCCTCTCGCCCCCATCCCCTCATGTGCGAGTCTGGTTCGTCTTGCCTGTCACCCCACATACTGGTCCCCCAGTCAGGCACATAGTTCACATGAGCAGCTGTGATACTGCCCATGGGAGCAATCCAGTGTCGAGGGGAAAGACCCTACTCAATGGTGGGGAGGTAGAGTGGGGTAGGGGGGAGAATCATTCTACAGAGGCACCATCATGGGGGG